AACGATTTCTTTTATTATTATTAGAAATATTTACTATCTACCTAATACAATATAATTAAATTTGATGAACGTATAGTAATTTCAATAAAACTAAATAACGTAAGTCGTTAAAATATCCATTGATATTACGGAGAAGTGAAAATATGTATATTATGGTATAGTGTATACATTGTGCGATTACTGATTCACCAAGCATTCTCAGCCCCATTTATTCCTTTAATAGTGAATTTATATAAATTTTGGTTTTGATATTTTTAGTTTGCATACTTAAGATTATATTTTCAAATACTAAGAGGGACTTGTAGTGATATCAACTTTTTTTCAAAATAATAATTACATTTTTCTCCTACGAATTGTTAATCAGTTAAATTTTTTCTTTTAATGCAGATTTAACGAAATATAAATTTGAATATGTAATTTTGGAGTTATTTAATATTATGTACTAAGGATAATATTATATGTCTACGATAATAGGTTTGGAAGTTATTATGGAATAACGAAAATGGTCATATGGATAATTTTAAATTATTAGTTTTTTATTCTTATTATCTAGAAGTTATATGGCCTCTGAACTAGTGGTGGCTTGAAGGAGGTATATTTGAATCACGTGATTTACAAACATATTAATGAGTGCCTTATGGCTGGAAAATTTAGTTTGAATAATTTTAAAAATTTGTTTAACCACTTAAAACTTATGAATTCACTATCCAGAGCAGTGAGAAAACATTTAGGATAGGCAATGTAAAAATATTAAGCATGTGAGTCAAGGAAAAAAATGTTCAAGCCTCCGCTGCCCTAAACCATTTTTTTTTAAGGCGATCACGGTGGTGTTTATTAGATCAAGAGAGGATAGATTGTAAATCAGAGGATTTAAATGTAGATTAAGTTTTTTATGGATTTGTTTGTGATGTTTAGATACATCCCATAATGTTCAGGGATGCTCATTATATATTCAGATCTTTGTAGAGGGTTAGATTACTAACATGCCATGGGTCATTGGTTATTCTTCTTGGATATTGAACAAAATTATTGTATTACTTGTATCCTGGCAGTTTTTGAAGCACCTAAAATTATTATTGTATACCATAATATTTAGCTAATATTAGGAAATTCATCTATAAGCAATAAATACATTAAACCAAAAACTTAGTTAAAGTAGTTTATGATTTAGTTTTGTTTTTTTTTTTATGGATAACTTGATCTACGGCAATCACCTACGTGCACCCCAAGATATTATAATTTTACAATATTTGTTACAGTCAAGTTGAATACATTTGCTAATAGGTGTGGTTTTATTCCAGTATTTGTAAAAATAAACATTTTAACCTGCTACATTTTATTGATTTATTTATTTTTATCCTTCTTTTAAAGAATTTAAGTGATATATATTAAAACGCTATTCGTTTAACCTTATAGACTATAAGTATTTATAAAAAGCTAATGAATCATTTGGATTATAGTTTTAATGATATAATATTATAATAATAAGGTATAAAAATATTTATTTTAAAATTATTTTTGGACTTATATTATATTTTTTTGTTTTTTTATTTTAATACAATAATAAACGCAATATTAGTGATACATACACAAATATATGTTTTTTGATATATTTAATTCATTTTTAAAGTGGCATTATTATTCATGTGCAAGTGATATCTATAAAAACTAATATGAATGTCAAATATTTACAAACTATTTATTAGTTTCATTAAGTAAAATGTCACAATACCAACAAACAATGATTGATAATAAAAAAAAATATTTGTTAATATCAAGCTATAACGTCACAATAGGATTTGTTCTCCAGAGAAACGATTCGAAATAAAACAAATGAAATCGGGACTTAAGATTCCGCCCTAAGGAGTCACTTCGCTATTGCCGAGTTTGAAACGTTTTTTCGGTGAAAATATATTCGTTGTTCTAATCGGAAATCGGAAAAATTTGTAAAAACTTTCGTATGCCGTTTTTGTAGATGGTCGTCGATTAAGTGGTATGCGTTGCGAATAAATGATGGAAAAAAGCACACGATACAAGGACCATATTATAATTATTATGCTAATTAAAATAACGTTTCGTTTTGGACGCTTCGATCAAGTGTTTCCAATTTTGTTATAAGTATTAATTGTTAAATACAATTGTAAGAAAAATAATAAAATATTAAATAAATTCAAATTTAATTTATCACCGGTTATTTCCAGAAAAACGACCGTCAACAAACTCCAAATCGGTTAGTTCATAAACCAACATCTCGTGAAAAGAGATGCTAAAAAGGAGAAACTTATATATGACGTCAACTATAGGGTACTTTTCGTGTACATATTTCTAACTGAATAAACCGTACTCGTAAAAAAGAGGTGCGAGTAGCCGAGATCTCGTATTCTCCTTACTTTCTGAAGTTTGAATACTTGTGAACATGTCCCTTAATTAATTTTTGTTTTTTCCTCTGCGGCCTATCTAAATTATAGTAATTTTCAATATTAAATGCGTTATTAATACAATTGAATTGTTTAAATAGAATACGCGAATAACTCATTATTTTCATACGTTAGTGCGTTACCTATCTGAATTTATTCAATTTAAAATCCAATGGCCGTAGTGGCTGAGAATTATAAATTAAAAAAATATACATAATACCCAATAATAATATTATAATACACGCGTTGCCTATTAACATAATTTCAATATATATTATGGGATGTGTTCGTGAATATTATTATGTATTTTGGTACCCAACACCCAGCCACCTGCACACGTACACACACACACACACACACACACACACACACACACACATTTATACACTTCATCTACCTATAAAAGATAAAACTACTTGCGATAACAACACGACGACGGTCCATTATCGGCTCTGAAACGGGATACGGCGGCGGTATTAGCTAGAGATATTATTTTAATTGATCATCTTGCATAGGCGAAGAAGAAACAAACCTGGGATTTATCGGCTGCACTTAACCACCGCGGCCCGAGAGATATGATAATTATAACAACAACAACAATAATATTATTTATATACCTAGGTACCTACTACGGGCCCGGACCGAAGGAATACAAAGTATGCACGATTTATGCGTCTTGATTAAATAATATTGTTGTCTGTGTGCCGGTTGTGCCGTTATATCCACCCCGCAGTGAATATTATTCTATTATGACGTATTAGTGTACAGGGTGATTCACGCCAATCACGCTCACCCACATTTCATCATTAATTTGAGCATTTATTCAAATATTCTGATTTTTGGACATTTCGAGTATCATTTACTTTATCATTGTATACCCTCTGTATATTTTAAGCCGCACTATCGTGGACCTTTATCCGCGGTACACATTGCTTAGCAACTCAAAACTGCTCTCTCTTCAATACTGATTTAGGTTTGTGGGCACTTAATTATTAAAAAAAAAAAATCATTAGCTCAACGATTTGCGTAAAAAGGGTGGTTTTTATTTGGAAAAAAAATGTAGGTATAACCACAGTGTATGGTCGATAAATGACATTATAAAATTTATGAGAGTATGGCCTTTTAATAGATTTGAAAAAAAATCAAAAAATCAAAATTGGTACACACGTATAGTAACTATAGTTATAAATGATAAAATGAGAGTGAGTATTATTGTAAATCGTCACACTGTACCCACATACAAACGTATATTCTGACGGTGATTCAGCGAAATCGGATAGTGTTGTCGTCTGGAAACCTCCCTTCAGGTGATCCGTAACATCCGTCACCACTCATGGAGTCATTAAAGATACTTGGCGTTTAAAAACGGACTCATTAATAAAACCCTCCCCGGGGGCTCTAGACTGCACACGAGGGAAGCAGAACGGACGTGGTGTCGAATCGTTCGGTAAATGAAATTATATGTATATCTTGTGTATCTATATGTCAACCTACACGAATCATCAAACAAATGCATATTCAGGTACACGCAAGCGTGACGTGTTTGTTCGACAAAAAATGATCAAACAAACCAAAATAAAAATATAAAAATTATTTTACCAAAATATATTTTTTTAAGCTCGTAAAACGCGTCGAGTGCCTATATGGTACGCGCACTCTACGGAAATGGAAACACTTTAGAAACAGTGTGAAATAAAAATCATTAATTGTATTGACGATTTATTTCATTTATTTATACGATATTTTTCAGAAGTGAGCATGACAGTTAAAACAATATTTCCATTATTTGATGCAGGTACTGCGTGACTGACGTACGTATTATCACTTATAATCTTAAAAGTTATTGTGCTTAACTTTATTTTAAGCCTCTATAGAAAGTTTTAATGGTGCTTATACATTACACAAGACGTATTAGGACAAACTTGCTTGATAAAAATAGTGATTTTAAATTTTGTCGAAAGTATAATTTGTTTTGTATAACTAGGTAGGTACGTAAGATAACAAAATCAAATAAAAGTTTATAAGCTTAACCTTTTCAAAGAACTAAAAGATCACTAAAATTTACACTTAAAATGTCTATAGCACAACTACATGATACGTGTACCGTAAGATTTAAAACAAACATTATCTATGGAGCACCTACCTATCGTTTGTACATAAAATATATTTTTTTCCTTAAAAAAAGTACGTAGCTCTAAATTATTATAAAAAATATATGTTAAATAAAATTATTTTATTCTTGTAACATTATTACGACTAATTAATTAATTTAAAAATAATATATTGTTTTCTTAGCAATGACTTAAATTTTAAAATTCTGTGAATTGTTTATTTTTTTTTAAATATTTTTACTTAAAAAAAAAATGATTATGTGTACGTGCATTTTACTGTTCTATCGATCGAAATTTTAAAATTATTGTTTTATGGTACGAAAAATATTTTTATTTTTTTCTATTTATTAAATTCGTGCATCGTATTAAGAATATTGCTAAATTTACTAAAATAAATCTAAATCAATAAATATATCATACTAATATTATATTATAAAATATAGTAAGTACTGTAATAGTTTAAGTGTTTTACCTGTGGATAATCTCGGAGCTGGAGAGTGTAAAAACTACCGTGTTGCTGTGGTATGTGTTTAGGATAGAGTCGTCGGTTAACAACAACTTTTCAAAGTGGCCAGTTAGTTCTCGTCGGACAGACTCGAGGGGTGATATTCTCCCTTTATATCGAAATCTGCCTCCCCTCCGTGACGTCAGGACCAATGACATCACATCTCTTCTACGCCAACAGTGTTTTTATTTTCAAACCCCGTACCCACGCTATACACTTCAGCCCTTTACTCCTCCCTTTAGTTTAACATCTTTTTAGACTGTAAAAAGTATATATATATTTACAAATTATAATCATTCAGCATTCACAGTAACAACAGTAGATAATAATAATAATAATAATAATAATAATAATAATATAATGATTTCACTGCGGCCTACTTGTACTTTTATCATGTTTTTCGAGCTTTACCGTTAATATTTTTATTATTTCGGTTGTGTATCGTCAATTTGTAACGATTGTAGCAATGTTGCACATAAAATACACTTTTCAAGGATAATATATGATTATTATATTTGCTCATTGGAAAGCTATCTGGCACAAAAAAATAATATATGTCTGTACATTATTATTTGCGTAAGAAGGCTAGATCGATTAATGATTTTATTATTTTATTTATAGGAGTCAAAATGTAACGAAATCACTATATTCAATACAAAATAAACATTAAATTATTTGTATACATTTTTTTAGTACAAATAAATTATTTATAATTTCTATTTTAACCATAGCGGCTATAACAACTACTTATTGCGAAACTCGTGTATATACTTAAAATATATATTGATAAGGATATTAATTTATTTACTGCATACAATAACATATTTGTTATTTTCAAAGCTAATATTGTTATACTAAATAATATTAACCATTTTATATTAGTAAGTTTATTTTTATAGAAATACTATAAATATACTATGCGATTTGTCTGTGTACGTAATATTATGCAAATAATTTAGGTATCACACGCGTGTACATGTCGAGTAAAACGTAAGACACGAACTTTGCTTTGCAGTTAATAATTATCCTCAATTTATAATTTTTTATAAAGTACTTATAATTTAATTAATAGTATTTATTTAATTAATAGTTAACCTCAATTGGAGCTTACATGCACTCTTCTTTTAATGATACTCTATCATATATTTATAAGCGCATTAACTAGATACATTACATTCAAATTACAAATATACCTATATTTACTATTTTTAAATTAATTTTGTAAATAATATTGATCCATTATATTGTATGTAAGTAAGTACACATTTTTAAAATTTTCTAGAACAAAATTATACTCATAATAAAATAGTATAATTCACTGAAACTATTGATTGATAAAAAATAAAATTTTAATACGCTGTAGTTTACCATTGTATAGCTTTGAACGTGAATAGCTCCAAAACAGGAACTTGAGTTAAAATAAAATGTTTTCCCAAATAATATTAATATTTCAAATTAAAATCAAATTTTTTTTTATTTTTTAGAATAACTAGATTTACAAGCATTACCGCATTCTTTTAAAGAATATTTTAATATGGCTTACAAAGATATGCTTTAAATGAGTGTTGAGTAATAGAATATATTATGTTCATTTTTGAATGAACAAGGATCGATATTATTATGATTGACTGGACTGATCAAAATATTTAATCTTAGATTAGCTTTGAATTCCGGTCAAACACGTTTGACATAATGTTGTTTAACACAAGTTCCTCTATGAAAACAATTATGGCCGTGATCATACTATATTAATCCTAGTTGGTTCGGTATAAGAGTTAAATTGAAAACTGAAGCAACTTATTCAGGTAAAGTTTATCCGACAATGGTGCATCTAATTAAAATAGTTTAATATTTTCACTAATTATAATAAATTAAGCTTAGAAATTTTACAAAAATATATTATAATTATCGAGTCCATCACATTATTATAATTTGTTGTACTATAGTTGTGCTAACAAAAAAATAGCACAGTTAATTGTCAACCAACCCGAAAGTGTTCAACAGCAAGTGATATATTGTGACCATCTATTTTAGTTGTGGCATTTTATTGGAGCCATACTTTATCTGGACATTTAAATAATTGTGTGTCAACAGCTATTGAAAATTCAGGTTTTATAGTAAAAAGGTTCAAAATTAAGTTCGTTACTAATGATTGTAAAGAAAAATGACGTTAGTTTTTAAAATTATTATTCATCTACGTAATTTTTGGAACGATGAAATATTTGATAACATCAAATTGAGAGTTTGAAATGGACAAAAAGTGGCATGTTTCAGTAGCAAGTAATCTCTATAAGATTCACAAAAGAACATAATTTTTATTCAAACCAGTTAAAATATTTCTATTAAAAAAAAAACAAATATTTAGCAGAAACCTTAGTAGGTAATGAATATTCAGCATGTAAAATTGTAGAGGTACTACATCTAATAATACTAAATTACATATATAGAAAATTTATCTATATTTTACACTGCAGTGACTACAGCTATTCCTCCATTATTGTTAAGGTTTCATAACTTTATTCAGTTCAACAAAATGGTCAGTTTTAATTTTTTACAGAATCTGTAACATGACCATGTGCAACGATTCAAACGCAATTTTTATTTTTTTATTTTATAGTTTTTTTTATTTTTTTGATATTCCTACCTTGAATGTTAAGTTCGAAAATTGCGTAAAAGTGATTTTACAGTCCTATATAATATAATATATAACTGTAATGTACACAAAGCTCGTATAAAAATAAGTATTTATACAATTCTAGCAAGTGTTCAGAAAAAAATAAAAGTAATGATAATAATAATAAAAATTTAACAAGTAGAATGGCGATGTTGATGATAGAAAATCAATAGTCACTGAAATTTAAGTTGGTCAGATTCTAATAATATCCTATTGTTTATTTAAAATATAATCTATTGTTATTCATTATTACCTATAGGTACTGGTACTCGTACTTATAATAAACAATAATATATTTATTACTTTTAACTAACAATGGATTTTATTTAATGGAAATAACATAGAAACAAATATTTAAAAATTTTTACTTGCATATTTATATATTTTAAATTGTTGGACAAATTAATCGTTAATAATTATTTTTTCAATATTTGAGCTAAACAATAAACTAATTAAAAGATAAAATGTCGATTTAGTTAAAATATCTAAAAAATACTGTTCATTTCTTCGGTTTATATGTGCTTAAAATTTGTAAAATATGTTTTTAATAGAATAAATAAAATATTCTCAAATGCAAACCTGATTAATAGTATAACATAATACATAATATTATTATGTTTTTATAAGATAAACATCGCAAAATAACTTTGCAGAATCCGTGCAGAGTAAGTTTTGGACAAGTCTGGCTCGTGCCAATTTAAATATTATTCAATATTCGTTTTCATCTTGACATACTTCACTTTAAAAGAATAATATGGAAATAAAAACAAATTTTTAACCTTCGTATAAAATTAGGCTTGTAAAACATTTACATATACATACACGTTGAGAGATCTAAAAAAAATATATTCTAGAACCTCAGTAAACAACTTCTCCGATAACATAATTATATTATGTCTTGGTACCTAACTCGATGGTATGACGTTTATATAAGTTTAAATATAAACTTTGGGAATAGTTTAATCTGTTTTGTCCAAGGCGGGAAAAATCCATCATAAAACCATTGTATTATTTTCTATTATCTTTTCTATGAGTAATAATAATAATAAAAATTATTGTATATAATTCTTACATCAGTGAGACTTGTCTATTTGCATTTTAATACCTATTGTACCTGCATAACAAATACTACTCAATTCTGACTCGTGATATGTTAACAATTATGCTACGCTACAAAAAAAATAAAAAAATACTGAGTGGGGTTAAGATTTTGATTGATTGGTACAATATAATGTATTCTAGTACTTATTTGAAATATTTTATCGTACTTTATTTGAGATTTGTCAAAACTAGTTACAACATAAACTTTTTGAAAGGTTTTTGGTAGACGCATACCTAAAACAAACTTTATTTTAAATACTTCATATAGTATAAAATATAATATACTAAATAGTTTTTGATATGTTTTTATCACTGAGCTGTAAACAGTTATCGGTCCAGTGGTATATTTTATAGCTTAGTATAAATTGATTGAGGTTATTATACCTTCAAAGTCTTTAAAACAATTAGTTTGATTACATTAAATTGATATCATATTATATAAGTATTTGTCGAGCCCCCTATATTTGTTTGAAAAATAAATAAAACAATTGATGATATTAGAGTTTCACATGAAAAAATCGACGTTGTTTCTCTTCTTGGTCGTCTGTGATAGGTACCAATGAAGATTTATTTGGTTATTTCATTCCAGTATTAATTTCAACTGTGCAATAAATTATGATTTACTATTAATATTCGAATTCTCACAAAGTCAAAGCAATGATAAGATTTTCCAAATGGTCGAATAAGTAACGTTAAACAAATAAACCGTTCGCCGTTTAATTAGCTTTAAAATTTAATATTTATACAAAAACCTATATAGTAATAAAGAATCGATTTTATGAATTTATTTAGACACTTTCGAATCTTACAATATTTTCTTTCATGAAACCCATCATTGGCGGGCCCGTCATTAATATTTTTACTTTTAATAAACTGTCTAATATACAATAAAATCAGGATTTCAAAATCTCACGATTAACGCCTTTGCTTCTCGGTTTTTTTTATTTTACCAAGCTTGTGATATCGATACCATTAATTTTGTTACCATCAACGTCTTTATTGGCGTCATCTTAATTAATTCAATTGTAAAAGCTACTGACGATTTGATTTTTTCACAACGTCATCAGATTGGACCTATTTATCTTTTATCTGAAATGCTTATTTTTAAATTTGATCAATACAAAATAATGAAATTATTATTATGTTGATAATGTTTTGAGGTTACTAAAATTACACATATTGAAATATCTACTTACTTAGCTAATCTCTCTTCTTTAAGCTATTGGAAATCTAAGTCCTCTCAAGCCTTGTGATTTCTAAGTATGGCCAGGACTGAATTGTAACTTTGAGGGGCCAAGAAAGAAGGTCAAAGAAGATTTTGGGGGTCCCTAGTAATTCATAATAAAAATACTTACCGACTTACTGTGTGTAAAATATATTTTTAGTTTTAATTATGGATAAATATTTATGTTTCAAAATGTTATACATCCATACACTTATGTATCAGGGTATCACATATAAATATATTTATACAAATATTTATAAAAATAACCTAAAGCTAAAAAGAGATTGATTAATAACAAATATAAACAAATTGTATTAAAACTTACACATTAGTACTTTATCTGCTCATAACTGATACAATTTTGAACTATCTTTAAGCAATGTAGTTTTTTGGAATTTTGAGACTTAAAAACATAAGCTTCACATTGTGCCATTGCAATAATCTAACAATAATATTGTATACTATTTAGGTAGGTAAGTAGGTACATTTTCTTAAATAACATTTTTATTTTTAAAACTTATAATAAAATGTAAAACAAGAACCCACAACATTTTTTTTATATTTTGGACTAGGGGTTTCCTGTGAATCTGAGAGACCGGGACATAAATCTTGAATGCCCCCCCCTCCAATAAAATGTGACCCTGCGTATGACCACTTCCACCGTCGAAAACTGGCATTTTTTAAAAAAAACCTTTGGCACTGTATTAACCAGTAAGTAATAACATTGTGGTTGGTTTTATCTGAATCAAAGAACAACCATTAGAACATTTGATGTTAAAATTGTGTACATTTTTTAAGCAGTATAAAAAAGAGAAACATTATATAGTTTCAACAATTAAAATCAATAATATTGTATTACAATATTGTACAAAATATACATTATCAGGTTATCTTACTGTTATTTTTAAGAATTGAAGTGATTTTAAAATCAGAAGAGTATCATTTATAATGATCATATAATCACACAGACCATAAACTTGTATAAATAAAATGTATTATTATATTGACTATTTTTTTTTTTATTATTGTAAGTATATATATTTTCATTTTAGTATAGATTTACACTGAGTTTGTAGTGCTTTTTTCAGAGTCATTCAATTGTTTGATAATTTTAGTGCATTATTTATTTATTTATAAGTAATTATAATTAATATTTTAATATTTTAATAGTATAGGTAATATGAATTTGAATAATAACCAATGTCATTTTAGACTATTAAGTAATTTGCAAAATCACGGCTAGAACAAAATGTCTTGACATTTGACTAACTAAATATATTTATTATGCCACTATTATGTGATAAATAGGTATAATTGTAATGACTTTACTAAAAAATAGATTTATGGAGATAAGTATTTTTCTTTTACAATAATAGCTCCTGTTAAAGTTTTATGTTTTGTTAGATGTGATTTGATTATCATATGCATATATTGAATATCACTCACAAAAAACACACAATTGACTAAAAAAATTGCAATTTATACAATCAATTTAGGTAGGTACCTATAGATAGTAACAATAGAATTCCTACCTATATAGTCTTGAGCACATTGCTGAACAGGAATGCCGGCCACAGCACAATCCACAACGTGTCCTTTCGAAACCTACGACCGTAATATCGTGTTTTTAAATATATTGCCATACTCGACGATTGGCAATTTCATTATCTATATCAATAATATACGGCCGGATATGCTGACAGCCGTGCAAAATAAGCGCACCGTGAAAAACCACAAACTGCCTCGCGTTTAATATTCTAATAATATATACAGGGTGTAACAGAAAGGACTGGCCGCAAATAATATTAACTACCAGTGTATTTAATTTCGTACTAAAAAGTATATTAAAAAATGTCTTATGCATATTAATAATATTAAAAAACAATAACTGATATTTATTTACACAAAAGTTATCACGTAGTTAGTTAATTATGAGCGTCATTCTATTTTGTTACACTGCTTAATATACAGGATGATTCACCGAGCATGCTTTCCCCTGTCTTTTCCTCGATTATGCAGTTCTTCGAAATCTTGTTTTTGAATTTTTAAATATACTTTAAAGATATATTTTCAGATTCTTGAGATGTATTTGTACTATTTAAGTAGGGTCCAGGCTAATACACAAAATTCTGTTTTTCAAATGAGAGCCTGCCTTTTTATACTTTAGATAATTTAGCAAATCATTTTTCTGAAAAGTCTCTAGTTTTTTAATTATTTAACTTTTAGTTCTAAGAATAAAATAGGGTCTATGATAATGGATTTAGTATTTAAATGGTGATTTAATATTTGTAAAAGTTGTCCAAGCATAATAAATATTCGATCCAATTACATCCTTTTTATATTTTTGTAAAACAATTTTTAAGGACTAGACGTAAGTACTAACTTTTGTAAAAAACATTGTCATCACTAAGAAGCTACTAAATTAACAACTAATTTTTAATAAGGTACATCGACATTTTCAAAAAAAACGTTATCCACTAAAATATCATTTACGGCAAGGGGACTTTTTATTTGAAGAACATAAGTCTGCATCGCGACAGGACTCTCTTATTTGAGTAGAACATAAAATCATGAAAAACTGAAAATTTCGTATTCACCTAAGTACCGGCTGTATTTAAAAATTCCAAAAGTCTAGAATTTGAACAAAGTCAATATCTACTAAAATTAAAAAACGCTGTCGTGCGTGCTCGCGGTGATTCACCCTGTATAGTTATGGGCAAACATCGCGTTATTATGTTATTACTACACATGCATCGTATACAAATATAATATATATTTCGTGTATACAATAGAACAATATCGCAACGAGTGGCGAGGGATACAGAAGAGAACGTTGCATTATCGCCGCCACTGCCACCGCCACGCGAAAGCGTAACTGTTACACACGCGTCTAGTCTCGCGGTTTCTATATCCGCAGTCGGATATCATTATTGTCGTACAGTCGTACCGCACCTGTTGTCACTTGTCGTCAAAAATATGAAACGGTCGTCGTTGTTCGTGTGCTGCGGCATAACGCTCTTGTACCTGTCGGACAGGTTGGACTCCAGGACAGTGTCGCCGATCGTTTACCTGACGACGGCCATGCCAAACGTCGCCGATCCGACCGCGTATTACGATGGTGGCGTCGGTGGTCAATCGTCCGGCTATTACGACGGTGGCGTCGGTGGTCAATCATCCGGATATTACGGTGGAGGCGCAGGCGGTCAATCCGGATATTACGGCGGTGTTGGCGGTCAATCCGGATATAACGGCGGCGTTGGCGGCCAATCCAGAAATTACGGCGGTGTCGGGTCGACCGGACGTTACGGCGGGAGATCGCCAAATACCGCAGCCGCCACTAAGTACGGAAGTTACGGGCACAGGACTATGCCGGAGTCTGCTGTCCGGGAAGCGATTAGGCCGGTCCGCGACGAACGGAGTTACTACGAGTCTCCAAGCACGTACGAGTACATGACGAACCCTCCACGGAAAAGTGGAAAAGTGTCCAGGGTGCCGGAGACTGAGCGACTTCCGCCGGAAGACGACGTAGAGTTTATCGACGACGGTGGTGGTGGTGGTGCCAACAGGAGGCCTGCGAAAGACCGGCGCCGAGAAGGAGACGAAGACGAACGAGCTCAGGATGTCGACGATCGGCCTCGAGGTCACCTACAGAATAATAACAATAATAGTAAGAGGATGAATAGGGACAAGCCCAAAGCGAAGGGTGGCAGGAAACTTCCGACACGTGAAGATGATTACACGGATGACGGTAGCAGAGGAGGAGACGCGGAGCCGGTAGGGTCTTCGACGAAAGGTGACGTGCATGAAAGGGCGTCCGCTAAAAAACCACACCGAGACGGCCATGAGGAGGTTGGGCGCAAAAACAAGAACCGCGCACCCAGCGAGGACGGGCCTATCAAGCACAAGATACACAAGAAAAATGAGTACTCGAAGAGACAGCAGTTTTTCGACGAGGAGCACGTGGACCTTGGAAAGAAGAAACCCAAGAATAAGGCGAACCACAACGGTCGCAAGAGAAACGGCCACGAACTTCCAAAGCAAAATAAGAAGAAGAAGAGACAGCAGCAACAGCAGCAACCTACCCAAAAGCCAGTCAAACGGACGACGCAAAGGGAGAAAAAGGACGACCGAGGTGCGAGTCGGGTCGGCTCGCAAGGATACGGTCAGGTTGTGGCCGTGCGATAACGAACGATTGTGCAACAGGTTTGGTAAATTTTCCGCTAAAAGTGCATGTAAAAACGTCTGCGAGGCCTGTCTGGGGGGAGGGGGGTCCTGCTGAAACGTTTTAAAATTTACCACATCTTTACGAGGCGTGCTCGCTGGTATAGGAACAGCGAGAACAAAAATTCGGACACGCAATCCACAACGGTTCGGCGATGTCTTCGGCCACCATTGCATAGGATATCTATATTATATTATTATGCCAACTTTTTGAGTATACTTAATGGACATAATATAAATGATTCAACTTCGGAAACTTAAATCAACTTTATTGCATTGGCTGTGGATATAGGAGTTTTTAACAGATTCGACGAAAACAATAATAGTTTGAATTGTTTTGTTTTCGTTTGCATCTATTAATGGCTGTAGATGTATAATACGAGGAATAATGATTATATTATGTATTATATTATGTTTACTCCTATAATACTATGTGGTAATAATTTTCTGGCATCATAATATTCATATTTCGAAAAAATCAACCGGGACCGAAAAGTTATTGACGTGAACAAACGCGAAGCGACATCCTGTTCGTTTATATTATAATACTATTACATACTTTAAGAATGAAATACAATTGTTACATCACTTCTGGCTTGCTTTGATATTTATTTTTTAAGACTGCAAACACCACGTATTTACTAAAATGTATATAAATGTTATCATCCCGATTGCAGTGTTAGATAATTAATTATTTCCCTCCGCGAAACGGAACTAATTCGACGACGTTGGACCGGAACGCGCGTGTCGTAGGTAGGTACCTATAATATTTATAAACACTTTGGCTGTTTCACATTTTTCTTTATTTTTTATATTATTTGTATAAATATTCATGGTCGTTGACCTAGGTTAAAAGTTGTTGTTGCACAAATACAATTAAATGGTGTTAATTTTTTTTTTTTATGATATTTTATGTTCAACAAGACTTTAGTGTCGTAACATGTATAACAATGTTATTAACATTAAATATTTTCAAATTTTATTTTTACTTTTACGCCGATGCATTACAAAACTATTGTTCTTAACGTATGGGAAAACAATTTTTAAGTATGCAATTGTTTTCACGTGTGATACATATTTAAGATGATGAATTAATTAATTTGGCTTATAATGTTGTCATTAATTGCAAACAATGATATTATGCTAAATAAAATGAAAAATTTTAAATAGGTAATAATACTAAATACTGGACACTTCATAAAAAAAATTGTTTTTACCAATACAACTAAACTTGCATATGAAGCAGTCAAATTCGATTGTCTGTACCAAACACCAGTTACGTATATACAATTTAATATAATACATATAATATAATAACATATAAATTCTCATTATTACAATACCGTTTTTTCACATGCATATTTTATGCAATATAGGTACATTATAACAAAATACAAAAATTTGTGATTGCACGCCATATAAATAATTTACATATACTTAATAGTAAATCCCTATACTAAATCTTCTTATGAAAATTCAATTTTTTGTGCTGCAAGCACTGGTGTCGTAGAGCGAATACAACATAACATATTGTATGGTTGTAATAAATTAATGATCTAAACATAATTTATATTGTATGCAGTCATGAATATAATACCCACATTTTGGATTGTTGATTGAGACATAGTTAACGGTCTACATAGAACATCAACCTAATTTAAAACTTCAATTTTATTAACCAAAATTGTTCTTAAAACAAAATTCTCATGAACAACTTTTAGTTAAACAATAAATATTATAAGTCAATATTTGTTATTGATGTTGAGAGATATTTAAACTTCATTTGTTTGTATCTTTAATTTTATGTGATATGTTATGTCGATCTGACTCGATAATAGTATAGCCTATTTTATAAAATATATATGTATTTTTTTTTATTTTTATATATTTTATAGTTGACTTAATTTATAGAAAGTAAAATACTGATAATGTCTATTTATATTTGTTATATATTTTGGATTAAGATTAAAATTATCAACACTACGACTTTGTCTAAAACACATCCATTGCTTAATAAACCTAGATAACTGATCGTTTTTCACGAAAGATTACATTTTAATAATTTAGGTGAAAGGTATACATATTATCATGTTAATTTCATGGTGATGGTTTATTAATTTTAGATTTTATTATACAACAAAGTATATTAATTAAAATCGTAACTTATACAAATTATAGTTTGAAGTACTATAAGGTTGTATTGCTACAAGCGATCGATCTCTAACTATTTCCATAGTCAAAACCAGACAAATTATAGTAACAATATTATACTTAATCAATTCTAAATTCTCAGAGTTCACCGATAAAAATGTATTAGTGGGTACAATGTTTTTTTTTTTTTGATATCTAGGTTCGTGATTAGTTTTTCTTTTGGACGCAATGCTCCAACAAATTACATATTTCTTTCCTGGGAGTCTTATCTAGATGGTACTTTAATGAGGCCATTTTAAAATTGTGTCAAAAGTTTTTCTGAGCGTAAGGTAAAACTACCGACAACTGTGGAACAATTTTAAAGAAATATTAGCAAGCGTAGTATAGTTGGTAAAATCTACCCTTAATTGTTTTTTGAATGCTATGAAATGTCCTAACCCAATCTCGCCTTATCATGCCGTTATATCCTTTTCTACTTGTCATGTTATTACTCGCATCAATGGTTTAGATAAGAAAATGCAATTAAAAAATTATAGAAGATTTTAATTAAAAATCGTTTAAATGTATGAATACTCTTTTCAAGCATTCAAATATTTACAAATTTGTGAAAATTAAATTTCATTAGATGATTTTTGTAACTCGAAAAATTTTTTTTACAATATATAACAATTAATGTAATCATAAAAATCAAAATACATTTTGTTATCCTTGGCTAGAGTTTATATAATCCGGTGGTCCTAGGAAGTTTACTTTTTTTTTGCCGAGAACTTTCCTCTTCCTTACAATGTTTTTTTTTCAATAAGCCAAAATTAAAAAAGTTAGATTATGATGTATCGTTTACAAATAAAAAAAGCGTTATAAATATTTAATCACAAATATATCTATAAGTATTGTTTAATCCAAGTTTACAAAGTATTTTTTCAGAACTAACTTAAAATAAATTATAAAACAAAAAAATTTAAATACAAGGTTATTTTCTTAAAATGAACTTGACTATATCTTGAAAAAAATTAGTTGTTTTTGTTTTATGGAAACTTTTAACAACAAACTGTAATATATTTATTTTATAATTATAATATTTTTTTATCCATTTTCCTTGTTTGCTAAAACCATATCAAATTTAGATTTTCATGTGGAAAACAATTATTTTAATTCTAAAAACATAAAAGATTTTTTTATTCTACTCAATTTTTAACTAGAAACGTTGTTAGTTAAAAAATTATTATTTTAATTATCTTTTTTTAATCATAAATTGGGTTTAGAATTGAAATGATTTGAAATTTTTTTTGTAGCATAGTTTTGAAAATTTGGTTAGAAACGTTGCACAAATAATCGTACATTGATACCTATTATACAATTTTTAATTTAGAATGATTTGAAGTGTATACGTGATACATATCATTGAATGTTAATTATTTAATGAACATAAAAAATGCGTATTTTGTGGTATATATACTTAAAGAAAAGTAATGTAAATATCAGATGGTATTATATTACAGATTTTAATTTCATAATATTAGTGATTTTTTGTTTGACGATAACAATTTAAAATCTATCAATACTATCGTGGGTTTATTTGTGAGTATGATTTACTAAAATTATTTAACTCTTATTAAAAGTAAAATTGGATTTGTCACTTGATATATTTTAAAATTAGAATATAATTCGTTATAATATACTGGTAAAAAGGATTATTATGTTGTTAATAATTTTATTGCATATCTTGAAAAATGCAAGCATATATATTCTTATTTTAAGTTGCATATAAATTCTAGTCATATCAAATCATACACAGATGTTAAACAATATTAATTATTTATAAGAATTTAAAAATGTTTTCTTTAAGTCCTTTAACTGTAAAAAATGTGTTTCATGATTTCTTCTGGTTTCTAGTAAGGATAAATTTCATCTATGCATAAATTTAATGTTTAATTTGGAGTTTATACCTTGAGGTAAAGTTATTTATTTGAAAACATTAACATTGTTTTTCAAATCAAATATTTAAAATGATTATTTTAATAACAATTAAGTTTGAACTGCAGAATCAGACGAGAATGGGTAATAGTATAATTATACTATAGTATATATAATTATATTGTTATACCAAAGCATAACAGTATATTGTTTAATTATTCTTTTCCAACTATTCAATAATATTTTTAAATTTAGGTATATTTAAATATTATATAATATTGGGTAATAATATTAGGTTTAGTACACAAATGCTTGTAAGCAATAGGTACTACTATCACGGTATATTCATCTAAATATATAATACAACATTTTTTTTTTTAAAAAAACACTGCTATATTAAAAATGAAAAAAAATGCATAGTGTTATTTATTGCTTCATATCTATATATAATTAATGCATCAAATTTTTAATATTGATAATACTCATTACTAACGTTCAATTCGATAATCTTGAGTAATAAATGAAAAATTATTCCATCACCAATGAATTATCGACCTATTGGTAGTTCAATTTCACTGGACAAAATTATTTATCGGCGTACACTAAACATTTGTTACGTTTTGTACCAAAACGAAAATTAATATTTCTTATGCATTAAGAACAACATGATTAAAATGATGTCAGATTATATTTACTTAGTTAAGAATTGTTCACAACTGTTATTTACATATTGTGAGTTTATGAGCACTATTAATAACGTTAATAATTTATATCTATCATATTCCCTCTTGTTATTTTCGAATCCAAGAGAAAATAAAAACTTTGATAATATTATTTCAAAAGACGAAACAAGTACACTTTTATTTCAATTGGAACGTTTATTGAAAACCTTATTTCTA